ATAAACAAAGACAATTTTCCGCTTTAGTAGTTTACCACTAGTAACTAGTTTTAGAAATTTATACTATTCTAATGACTTCATTCGTTAGAATAGTGCAGTTTAATTTTTGACCGATATTATCAATTAGATTAGAAACTACTCTGACTTTTGTTATAGGTGGATATAAGTTACAAATCGTTCAATTAAAAGAAATCTATAAGTTATTTGTCACTAACTTTAACGAGAAATGATTTTTCTGCCAAATTAATCATTATCATGATTGTTTAACTTTAAAATGAATTCATGTTTAGCTAGTCTTTAATGAAATGTTTTCTCCTGACCTGTAATATTTATTTTACTCAGCTATATAGTTCTGATTGTTGAGCTGTTCAGTGTCTATATTCAATTTGCAGTGATTAGTCATACAAAGGAAAAAGGAAAGACAGTTGATGCATGAAAAAGTGATTAAACTTGTCAAACTTTTGTGCAAGGAAATTGCAAAGGATATAGACCATGCAAAGGCTTCCGAGTTACTGAAACCACCGTTCCTTCTAGCGGCAGAGTTGGGCATTTGTGAAGTCGTTGAAGAGATAATAAAATCATATCCTGATGCAATCTGGTTTACAATTGAAAAGGATCATAACATATTCCATTTGGCAGCCATGAAACGTCGAGAGAAGGTATTCCACCTCATATATGAAATGAGTGGTCGCAAAACATTTGTTGTCTCAAGACGTTGACAAGAACAATATCTTGCATTTAGCTGGAAAATTGGCATCCAAAAATCAACTTAATCTCATTCCTAGCACAGCTTTGCAGATGCAGCGCGAGTTACAGTGGTTTAAGGTAGGAATACTTTTGGCAATAATACTATGCTCACTTACGATCTTACTAACCATTTTATTAACGTGTATAAATATAAAACATAGTACCCGTACTATCCGCATGATATCCGTACTATGCTTATATTTACAACGGTTAATAAGACGGTTAGTAAGATCGTGAGTAAATATAACATTACTCGTACTTTTGGTTTAAACATTGCATGGGTGCTTTTGTAATGAACTCTTTCCATATATTTGTATGGTAATCATATAAATAAAACTTACCCATTTTGAAAAATTTTGATTATTGAGTTAATTATATATGTCCAAATCTCTAATTAAATTTATCATATACAAGAAGTGGATAAAATTGTACCGCCCGACTACAAAGAGGAAAAAAATTATAAAGGAGAAACTCCAGCAATGGTGTTTACTGAGGAACATAAGGGACTCGTTAAAGAAGGTGAGAAATGGATGAAAGATGCAGCAACCTCATGCTCAGTAGCAGCAGCTCTCATTGCCACTGTAGTATTTGCAGCAGTAATCACTGTACCGGGTGATTACAACAATAACGGTCAGCCAAACTTTCACAGACTGACATCCTTCATGGTCTTTGGCTGCCATCATAATGTTCTTGTCTGTCCTCACCGCACGCTACGCAGAACATGATTTTTTTTATTCGCTACCCAACAAGTTGATATGGGGTCTTGTTATGTTGTTCCTCTTTAACGTCACTGATGGTAACATTTTGTGCCACTGTTTATTGTTGATCAAATGATATTATGCTGGAAGCTCATGAAGTTGGTCAATATTTTTGAAGTACTGGAGCTGCATGTTCTGGCGGCAAAACTGGAATTCTGTTGGAATTTGTCTCTTCTGTTTTGCATCAGAATTTCTTAATTTTTTATGATAAACATCTTAGGTGAATTCAGTTTGTTTTTTGCTGTTGATTAGGTGTTAATGTAATGTGATGTGTTTGTAGTAGTTAGTAAAGTATGGCTGTTTAATTTTGATTGTAAGTCTGCTACAGAGTAGGTGTAACTGCAGTGCAAACCATGTTTTATATTCAGTTTTTTGTTCAATGAAAAAGTATTCCCGTTGTAACCTTTTTCAATGTGTGTGCCATCATAACAACAGTTTTTCCTTAGAATTCTCCAGCTTCAAAACCTTCATTTGGTATCAGAGCCTCTGTGAGTTTTTCAGACTAAAACTTCAACTCTTCAAACACAGCTCAACTCCCTTAAGATCTCCTCCATGGCAACAAATCCAGCACCACTTTCTCCACCTATCTTCAATGGTGAGCAGTACCATGTTTGGGCTGTCAAAATGAAGACCTATTTGAGAGGCCATTCTTAGGCAATTATGGAATATGTGGAGAAAGAGAGACAAATCCTTAACTTGGAGTAAACCAACACTGAATCAGATTAGGATTCATGAAGAGGAGGTTGCAAAGGCTCCAAGAGCACTCTCCTGCATCCATTCTGCAGTAACTGACCAAGTCTTCTCCAGGATAATGGCTTGTGATACTCCTAAAGAAGCTTGGGGCAAGCTCAAGAGGAGTTTGGGGAAGTACCCAAACCAGAAACATGCAGATCCTAAACTTGAGGAGAGAGTTTGAAGTGCTCAAAATGCAAGAAATGAAAATGTCAAGGAGTATGTGGATAGATAATGATGTTGTAAACAAGATTAAGCTACTTGGTGTGGAGTAGTGACTGATCAGCGGATTGTGGAGAAGGTTTTGGTTAGTTTACCCGAAAGATTAAAGCAAAAATCTCCTCACTTGAAGACTCAAAAGACCTGTCCCAAATCAGCCTAGCTGAACTTGTGCATTCCTTCAAGCATAAGAACAGAGGAGGCTGCTGAGGCAAGAAGATTTCAGTGAGGAGCTATGTTGAAGTCAAAAAAAGAAGGGATTTCAAGGGGAAATCAGGAGGTACGCTGGAGAGAAGAAGGGGAAAGAAAAGCTGAGTAATCAAGGAGGAAAAATGGGGGGCAGCAAGAACTTTTGCTCCTTGTCCTCACTACAGAAAAAAGAACCACTCTGAAAATAAATATTGGTTCAGGCCTAGCATTCAATACAGGTCTTGTAAACAATTTGGGCACATGAAAGAGTGTGTAAGAACAAAGGGAATCAGCAGGACAGGAAGCTCAAGCTGTGGAAAGTTCCTAGCACTCCCAGCAGAAGAAGAGAGTTCAGGCAGTGTTTGTGGTCTCTGAATCATGGTTGTAAGCAGCCCTGAGTCTGGTTGATTGATAGCGGCTGCACCAACCATATGACCCAAATGCCAGCAATTTTGTGAGCCTAGATAAGGGTTACCAATCCAAGGTGAAGGTGGGAAATGGTAAGCTACTAGAGGTGAAAGGCAAAGGGGATGTTTCTGTCCAAACCAAAAACGGTACTAAACTCCTAGCTAAGTTTGTTTGTGCCTAAAATCAGTTTGAGCCTACTTAGTGTAGGACAAATGTTAGAGAAAAATTATTTCTGCATTTCAAGGACTCACTTGTGTTTTTTAGAGAGTGAGGGACTGAATTGATGAAGGTTAGAATGCAAGGAAAAAGTTTTCCATATAGATGGGGAAAGGTTGCTTTTCAAAACTACTCAGCTAGGATAAGATTCAGAGTTATGGCATAGGAGATTTGGACACTTTCATTATCATGCCCTCAAGGAACTTAAACACAAAAAGCCTGTCCGTAACCTACCCGAAATAGACCAAGGTGGAAGGATTGTGCAAAACCTGCCAAATTGGCGAACTCAGCAGGCCTCCATTCCTACAAATAAAGCTTGGAGAGCAAGTGAAAAGCTCCAGTGTGCACACTGATGTGTGGGTCCAATGCAGCAAACTTCTCTAGGGGGAGAAGGTACTTCATCCTTTTCATAGATGATTACTCTAGGATGACATGGGTGCATTTCTTGAATAAAAAAAGTGAGGTAGCTGCTGTGTTTAAAAGGTTCAAATTGCAGGTAGAAAACCAAACAGGTTTGAACTTAAGTCATTGAGAAGTGACAATGGTGGTGAGTACACTTCCAATGAGTTTGAAGAAGCATGCAAAGGGGCTGGAATTTGGCATCCGTTCAGCAGTCCATACACTCCACAGCAAAATGGAGTGAGTGAGAGAAAGAATAGGACAGTGATGGAAATGGCTAGGTGCTAATGATTGAGAAAAATTTGCCAAAAATTTTCTGGGCAAAAGCTGTCAACATTGGGATCTACTCTACTTAATCGATTACCAACAAAAGCATTGACAACAAGACTCCTTTGAAGCCTGGTAGGTGTCACAGCAAATGTGGATCATTTGAAAGTATTTGGAAGTGTGTGTTACGTGTTTGTCAGCAAACAAAGGAATAAGTTGGATGAGAAGGCTGAAGTAGGCATCATGATTGGATACAGCAGCCAGTCTAAACCTACCGAATTTACAATCCATGCTCCAAAAGGATGTGATTAGTAGGGATGTCAAGGTTGATAAGGAGCTACTTGGAATTGGGAAAAGAGGCAAGTTGAGAGAAGGATCAATAGCCAACATGACACAGATCCAGAAATTCAGAATGCAGAATTGAATCCTGAAGAAGTGGATGAAATGCCAGTCCGGGGCACCAGGTCTTTGCATGACATATATGAGAGGTGTAATGTGGCGAATTGGAGCCTACATGCTATGTTGAAGCTGCAAAATCTCAAGCCTGGAAGGCTGCAATGCAGGAGGAGATGAATGTGATTAAGAAAAATCAAACTTGGGAGCTGGTTGATAGGCCACTGATAGAAAGTAATACAAGTTAAATGGATATTTAAAAGGAAACTGATCTGATGGATCAGTGAAAAACTCAAGGTAAGACTTGTGTTAAAGGCTTTGCACAGCAATTTGGAGTTGATTTTTTAGAAACTTTTGCACCTGTGGCAAGACATGACACCACATTCGGCTTCTCATGGCAGTGGCAGCACAATTCAGTTGGAAAATCTTCCAAATTGATGTAAAGTCCGCATTTTTAAATGGATTGCTTGATGAGGAAATCTACATTGAGCAACCAAGGGGTATGAAGTCAAGCGAAAGAAGGAGAAGGTCTATCTACTAAAAAAGGCCTTGTATGGTCTCAAACAGGCCCCTAGAGCCCGGTATAGCATAATTAATGATATTTGTGCAAGCTAGGATTTGCTAGAAGTCAAATGAGCACACCCTTTATGTAAGGAATAAAGAGGAGAAGTGATGATAGTCTCTCTTTATGTTGATGACCTCCTGGTGACTGGAAGCAATCTTGTTCAGTTGGAAGAGTTCAAAAGAGCAATGAAGATGGAATTTGACATGACTGATTTGGGTGAAATGAGCTACTTTCTTGGCATGGAAATATACCAAAGCTTAAAGGGTATATTTGTGTGTCAAAAGAAGTATGCAAATGAGGTGCTAATTAAGTTCAATATGGACAATTGTAAATCAGTTGATATCCCACTGATTCCTAGCCAGAAGCTGAGCAAGGAAGATGGTGCCAAAAGGGTGGAAGATGGTGCCAAAAGGGTGGATGAAGGTGTCTATAGAAGCTTGATAGGATGCTTGCTGTACTTGACAGCAACCAGGCCTGATTTGATGTACACCACCAGCCTCCTATCTAGATTCATGAGCAAGCCAAGTGAGATGCATTATAAGGCTGCAAAGAGGGTGCTACGGTACATTAAGGGGACTACTGAGTTAGGAATCTAGTTCAGAAGGTCAGAAAAATTCAGTTTAATAGGCTATTCAGACAGTGACTAGGCAGGCTCAGTTGATGATATGAGAAGCACTTCTGGATATGTTTTCTTTGTTAACCATGGTGTCTTCAGTTGGCTCTCCAAAAAACAGGAGATAGTAGCCTAATCTATTGCTGAGGCAGAACACATTTCTGCTGCAGCTGCTACAAACCAGGCAATCTGGTTGAGAAAAATTCTGACAGACTTGAGGCTGAATCAAGATGAGTCTACCACCATTTATTGTGATAACATGTCAACTGTTTCAATTGCTAAGAATCCTATTCTCCATGGTCGAACTAAACATATCAAAATTAAATACCATGCTGTAAGAGAGGCAGAGCAAAGAAAAGAAATCAGCTTAGTCCATTGCTTGGGAGAGAACCAAGTTGCTGATATTATGACCAAGGGACTGAATAAGTCAAAGTTTGAAGAATTCAGACTCAAACTTGGAGTTTCCAGCATGAATATCAAGGAGGAGTGTTGATCAAATGATATTATGCTGGAAGCTCATGAAGTTGGTCAATATTTTTGAAGTACTGGAGCTGCATGTTCTGGCGGCAAAACTGGAATTCTGTTGGAATTTGTCTCTTCTGTTTTGCATCAGAATTTCTTAAATTTTTATGATAAACATCTTAGGTGAATTCAGCTTGTTTTTTGCTATTGATTAGGTGTTAATGTAATGTGATGTGTTTGTAGTAGTTAGTAAAGTATGGCTGTTTAATTTTGATTGTAAGTCTGCTGCAGAGTAGGTGTAACTGCAGTGCAAACCATGTTTTATATTCAGTTTTTTGTTCAATGAAAAAGTATTCCCGTTTGTAACATTTTTCAGTGTGTGTGCCATCATAACAGCAGTTTTTCCTTAGAATTCTCCAGCTCCAAAACCTTCATTTATCTAGTGTTTTCGGAGAAAAGGAATATTGGATACTTGCTTTAGTGTTTGCATCAGCTTCGGTTCCTCTCTCCCTGTTTACATATTCGCAATATCCTCTCTTACGTGACGTGATTAATTCCACATATCGACCCGACATTTCTCGCAAGCAAAGAAGACGTGTCTTTGCACTTTTTCTGAGAGTGATTAGAGAATAAGACATTTGCATCATTCTTTGTATTATATTGATCATATGAAAACTTCTATATGTATTTGAAAAAAATGGTATATATATGTAAGTGATTAGATAATAAATCACTAGCCCCTTTGACTTTATAGAAGTCATTACGTTAGCTTGTAATTGAAAGTTTGTTTAATCAAGTTCATTAAACATTTGTGGAATGGTTTGATTGTTGAAAGTTTATGTTTTAACCAAGTTCATTAAACATTTGCGGAATGTGTTGATTGAGTTTATTGTTGCTTGTGTGTATGGTCATTCAACATTAATCATCATATAAACCATAAGTAGAAAAGAAAGCACACAAGCATATTTATATGGTTCAGTTAACAGCCTACATCTATGGAATTAAGTCTAGACGAAGCAAATCCTCTATAGTAAATACTTACAAGTCAGTTACAGAGTTAAAATTAAGTACACAAATGTAAAACACTCTCTGTTTCACAACACTCTAACTTCACCCTCTGGTTGATCTAATGTCTTGTCGCAGCTTGCTTGAATCTAAGAACCCTCTTGGACAGCTCGAGTTCCAAGCTTCAATGTCGAAGTCGATCATCAGCTCCACAGCTTGAACTCCCTTCAACCTTTCATCAATGGAACCATGTTCCAACAACCACTCAACAACAAAGATAAGTATTTTGAGCACGAAAACATTAAAGGAACCTGACCTAAAATGAATAACCTCTCTAAGGAATTTCAGAGAACAGATAAAGGAATATTTAGGTTCAACGAAAAACGCAAGGATGAAAAAGATAATATATACTCATTTGGCAAGAAACCCTTAGCACACACACAACCGACAATAACTTACACATGTTAGTCTATTTTAGGAAACATTCCAACAAATTTGGACCACAAGGACCACGTCTGAAAAAGGCGCAACAACATTCTTGGACCACTTTTTAAAAAATCAAACACCTGTATTTGGACCACTCATGCATATCTCAGACCTGAAAAATATCCTATCATGCAAAGAAACGACATGTGCACTAAAGGGTCCGACTGGACCAATGTTCACACATCTGACTCTAATGTGTTCACGTATTTTGCAATACGTTTAGACTAAGAAAATGTGCATATATTTATGTAGAATGTTATGACATGTGTGAATTACATACATGATTGTGCTTAACTAAATAAATGTGCGAACATCATAAATGAATGTGTACACATAACTTCATAAGTTGACAAAAATACTTACAATCTCCCCGTTTGTCAAACTTATAAACAAAGCACAATCTTGTTCAAATGATCAACACAAACCTGTCTCAAACAATATCATCATTAAAAGTATAGTGATAAGAAAGGAACAAGCACTCATTAAAAACATATCTCATGAAAACATCATTATCACCAAGCATAGAGATAAGTAATTTATCCTAACCCTCATGTGTTTAGCTTTTTTTGCAGTGAACGCCCATTGGTTTCAGAATTGCAGTCCTAACTTGTAACGCTTACATCGAGGTACGTAGCTTTATGTATTCTCTAATACCCTTAGTTGAATTTTGTTAAAGTTATCTTGAACAAGTATGAAGAAAACGCCTTAAAATTTCATTAGGGGTAAAATGGTCTTTTCACTCATAATTAGTTGAAAAAGTGGGGAGTGAAAAGAGATAGAATTTCATGGAGAAGTTAATAAAAATTAGGGCATTATTGTAATTGACTAAGGGACATAGATGGAATTTCATAGAAAGTACAAGGGCAAAATGGGAAAATAGAAGTAATAAATGAGATATTTTGAGTTCATTCTTGAAGACCCTATCATTCTCTACTCCCTCACACGTTACTTTCATCTCCAAATTCTCTCATTTTTTTCATCAAATTTCCAAGGCAATTTAGAGGATTTTTTGTTGGATGTTGGTAGATATTCAATCCTAAGAATCCAAAGGTAAGTGTTCTTGCAATATGATGTGAGATTAATTTTTAAGTGTTGAATTCTTATAGTTATATGCTTAGGGTTTAAGAAGAAGAGGAGATCTACCCAAAGAGAGAGTTTCTAGTGTGGAACTACCCAAGATCAAGGTAAGTAAATCCAACCCTAAGTTTGATTTGAGTAAGTTAGTAGAGATTTGTACATTTATGTATGTACTTATGTTTTTGAGAAGTTTTGATGAGATTTATACTTGATGATAATTAAAATTCAGCCATGAGAATGTAGACTTTGCCTATATGGTTATTGATGGAAGTTTGGTTGAATTTAGAAAGAGTTTGAGTAGACTTTATGGAGTGTAGTTTCCTGGCCAGGTTTAGTGTTGATTTAATGGAGTTTTGCTCCAAATATTGGTGGCTTGAGAAAGTAGTAGAAGTGTAGCCAAATAGAGTTTGAGTATGCATGCAATTTGTTTGATGAAAACCTAAGAGAAACATGTTACCATGGTTGCCACTACAAGAAAATTGACATTTTGCAACCAATTTTTTAGCAACTAACCAGAATTAGTTGCAAAAAGGCTACATTTATCAACAAATTGACATTAGTCGAGCAAAGAGGATTAAAATTTTGGGGCCCACATGTTCAACATTTGGCTATGAAGTTAATTTTTGCGACTATTTGTTAGTTACAAAACCGGTTGCTTTATGTGACTAATAATTTAGTTGCAATTTTTGGGTGATTTTTCCCTCCAAAATATGATAATTTGATCAAATTTTGGTTACAAAAATTTTTTTTTGCAACTACTAATTTAGTGCTAAATTAGTTGTGAATAATTAGGGATTTATTAATAACTATTATGATTAGTTTGTAAAAATAAAAATTACCAAAATATCCCATATTCGGACAGTAATTACAAGGCCCCAAAGTATACAACAACTAAATTTGATTTAGTTGCTAATTTAACTTAAAAATATATTCCCCCAAAATTATTTGTTCCCGCCAGACCTCAATTATGGGCAACTAACACTAATTCTTTGTTGACTAAATTTTAGTTACAAATTGACTTATATTTCAAATTAAATAACTAATTGAAACTTACTTTTTTAAGTTATTACATAATAACCTAACCTATATATAGCAAGCATTTTTGTCAATTTTATCTCTTCTCCACACATGTTTGCCCTAGCTTTTTCCCCAAATTCTCAAACGCACAACCCAAAATTCATTCTTCTCCACGCATGTTTGCCCTCACTGTTGTCGAATTTCCAAACTACCGAACCTGACTTCATCTTTTCCCCACGCATCTTCATCTCTTCGATCTGACACGCTATCTTAATCGCTGATGCCCGAATTTTCGAACTGCAGAACCTGACTTTTTTTAGACAAAAGTTTCCCACCCATCAAAATTTTCGCTTAGACAATTTCCACCACCCTTTTCTCTTCTCTCTGCCCTTAACTTTCTTTCTCACTTAAATGTTTGTTTCTGGCCACTTTTCTTTCAACAGAATCTCCAACTTGTGATTTAACTAAACAACAAGAAGGAATCAATGCCACAAAAGAAAGAGAAAGCCAAGATACCCATCTAGGTTTGCAGTAAGTTTTTATTCTTTTCTTATTATGAAGGTGAAAAAACAGAGTTCAAGAAATGGGGATATTGTATGAAGATGTTGTACTAATAAGTCAAGCCGAGAAGCCAGGTGACTCCATTGTTATCATAGTTAACTGTCCCGACAAGACTGGTTTGGGGTGTAATTTGTGGAGGATTATCTGCGTTTGGGTTGAGACACTGTAGAGAAGGTATACTTTTTTCTTCATTTTTTAGGAACAATACCGTAGTGTTTTTGGTTGGAATTATCTTCATATTTGCTGATTTTCCTCTTGTTTATTCTTTCATTTGGTTGTTTGATGTGCCTTCCCGATCATGTTGTTTTTTTACTATTTGACTGTTGAGTCTTGATGATATGATTTTTTAATATGTATTTGTTATACTTTAGTTTG